TCATTGCCACGCTTTTCCTGGGCCGTTCACTTTACTGGTTTGCCGTCAAAATGGTCCAAACTCAAGAGTAAACTGATGTAGAAGGAAGTTTAGCTTTTCTTTTGAAAAATGTTTCAAATTGAAAATAAAAGCTCCTCATTCAAAAATAAACGCAGGCCAAAACTTTGAAAGAAAATTAATGTAACTCAAGGATGAGACTTGATAAACTCCTCACTAAAAGTCCACAGCTCTGCAGCCAACTTCATGTCCTTGGCATGAGGGGTGCAATCCGCTTCGTTGCAATCCAAGTAGTACTTTCCACTCACGCCCTCCATGCAAGGATGGACCGCAAGAAGCATGGTTGTAGCAGCGCCCTGAAAGAAATCACAGCTTTAATCCAGAAACGTAGGCTATGATATGTTTGTACCTGCGGGATGGATTTGCAAAGTGGGCTCGCGAGGAAGAGAAGCAGCTCTGCACAGCAGCACAAGTTGATCAATCTCAATTCTTTTCAGATACTGTTTCATGAACTTACTAGCTGAAGTCTGATTGAAATCTCTTCCAAGTTTCGTCTTGATAGTTCCAGGATGAAGTGAATTTACAGTCACGTTGGCACCCTTCTCCTGAAATGGAAGATCATCAAAATTATGTCTGGGAAAACTCGAGCACAAAAACTTTGAATCTATGGGCACCTTCAAGCGGCTTGCTAACTCCCTGGTATGCAGTATGTTGGCCAGTTTGGATCTTCCGTAGCTAGTAATCCATTGGAAGCTGCACGACGAGAGTTAAAGAAAGTTCATTGGAAGATTGCAAGGAAAACCGAAATGCTTCCTCCTAATTGTCAATGAAAAAACTGACCTGTTCTTATCATTCAGCTTGTCAAACTCAATCCCGCCTTTTGGAACATATCTGTGACCTTCAGACGCCACCATGACAATCCGACCTTGCACTCCAGTTTGAGATGCAGTCTGGATCATCTTGTCCAACAGCAGCTCAGTGAGCAAAAACGGACCTGGATCATCATCCAAAGAGTGAAGGTTTTTCTAACAGACAAAACTTGAACACCATACCCATATGGTTTGTCGCGAAATCGAGCTCCAAGCCATCCGGTGAGAGCTGGAAGTTATTGGCCGTCATCCCAGCATTGTTTCTGCATTGATCCATGCATTTTGATCAGAAACACTAACAGGAGTGACTCACATGAGGATGTGGAGCGGGAGATTTAGAGCCTTGAAGTCGTCGACAAATTTCCTGACCGACTTGAGGGAGCTCAGATCCAGCTCAAGGACAGTGACCCTTGCATTAGGGAATTCGCGTTGGATCTTGGACTTGGCTGCTTCAGCGTTCTGTAGCTTCCTGGCTGGGATAACAACGTGCGCACCGTGCTTGGCGAGAACTCTGGCAGTCTCAAACCCAATTCCGGAGGTAGCCCCTGTAGCTTGATGATAAGAAATCGAAGCAAACTATCGATGGAATTGGCATACCTGTGACGATTACCACTTTGGATTCCAGAGAAATCCCCTTTGCAACTTTCTCGGCTGTAGCTCCCGATCCAAAGCCTGTAGCGCCGCGGTATCCTGTGAAGTAGCTTATCACGCCCATGATTCCTGGATTGCTTGCAAAGACTTGTGACTTTGATCCCGAGACGGCTGCTTAAATACATTCCTGGCCAGCTTGACCGACGCGCAAATGTGACATCCACGAAAGCGCTTAGAGAAGATTCTGAAACATTCGGTCAATTTGGAATGGCGGTTGATTACAAGGTATTATCAATCAATAACCATGACGATTCATTGCTCAAACAACACGTCGACTGACGTACATAATGTCCATGCATGACCTTTGTTCACCGCGCAAACGCCACTTTGATATCTCAGCGTGTGAAAAGTCGCCTGGGCGCCATTGCTCGAATTTTCAGCCCTCTAAAGAACATGTCAATGTCAAACCCAGCGAGCGAATGAAAACCGCGGCTTCCAACTGATATATAAATGGTTGCTTGCTGTGCCGAAGTCATTGACAAAGCTACATCTCGAGATCGATCAGCAAAAGAAAGCACAGCTCTCTTTCTCTCAGCCCTGTAAAGGTTCTTCAAGGATGATAGCGATACTATCGATATTCTTGGTCGTTCTATTTGCTCCCGGCCATGTCCACTCCAAGTGTATAGCGGGCGAGCTGTGCTGGCCAGACGCACAGACCTGGGCATCCTTCAATCGCTCCGTGGGAGGGAGAATGATCAGCGTGGCCCCTCCAGCATCGCCATGCCATGATCCAAACTACGACGAGCGAGCCTGCAACGCCGTGAGGAGCGGCGGGAACAGTCCGTTCTGGAGGACTGATCAACCGGGTGCGCTGCAACGGACGAGCTGGGAATCGTTTGGGGAGCAGCGCTGCCTGATCTCCTCCAACAGGACCGCCGCTTGCTTCCAGGGCGCGGTCCCGGTCTACGCGGTCAACGTTACTCGGGCGGTCCACGTCCAAGAGGCCGTCAAGTTTGCGTCCCGGCACGACTTGCGCATCGTGATACGAAACACGGGGCATGACTTCCTCGGGCGGAGCACGGCGGTGGGAGCTCTCAGCATTTGGGTGCACCACCTCCAGAAGATCCAGTTCCACGAGAGCTTCAAATGCAGCCGTGGTAGCGACCGTGGCTACTCGGCAGTGACGGTGGGAGCTGGAATTCAGTGGGAGGAGCTCTATCGGCAAGCGTATCAACGAAAGATGATCCTGGCTGGCGGGGGATGTTCCTCGGTTGGAGCAGCTGGCGGATACCCTCAAGGTGGCGGCCAAAGTTTCCTTTCCCCGCTAATCGGCTTGAGCGCCGATAACGTTCTCGAGTACGAGGTGGTGACCGCGGATGGTAGGCTTGTCAAAGCAAATGCATGCCAAAACACGGACTTGTTCTGGGCTCTCCGGGGTGGCGGAGGAGGAACATTCGGAGTTGTGCTCTCGGTGACGCACAGGACTTTTCCAGCTCTTGACAGCCTCGTCTTCGCTCCTCACAACTTCAACGCCCCCGATACCACCACCTTTCAGGGGCTGCTCACTCTGTTTACAAGGTTGAATCCCTCTCTGTCCGATGCCGGCTGGTCTGGCTACTTTTTCTCGACGAGCCAGAGCCTGACGCTAACGTTCCTGCTGCCCAACCGGAACGTCTCGTATGCTTCCACCACCTTGGCCCCGCTGCTATCGTACGCGCGGGAGAACAACATCCGGATCGACGGGAGCTTGGAGACGTATGCCTCGTACTGGGACTGGCACTTGCAGTTTCAGTGTGGAGGGCAGGAATCGTGCTTGGGCCTCAACAACTTGGGAGTCTCGGATGTCTTCGCAACGAGGCTGATCCCGAGATCGCTCTTCAACCACGAACAAGACCTCCTCCCAAAGGCCATGATGCACATCATGACCGAGCTGCAAGTTCCAGCTACGTATGCGATCCTGGGGGGCGGAAAAGTGCGAGAACCCCAAGACAGCGCTGTGAATCCGGCGTATCGCGACGGACTGTGGCTGCTCGTATCGCCCCTGACTTGGCGGGACAATGCGACGGTGGCGGAGATGAGGGCTGCTGCGAATCTAGTGTCGCAGGCGAACAAGCTCTTCATCGATCTCACGCCGGGCTCCGGGACTTACGTGAACGAGGCCGATTACAACGAGCCCAATTGGCAGCAATCCTTCTTTGGGAAGAACTATCCTCGCCTGTACCACATCAAGCGCAGGGTCGATCCTACCAATCTCTTTACGTGCCATCACTGCGTGGGTAGCGAATTCAACTGAGAATCCAGTGAAAAACATAGCGATTCCATACAAATGTTGAAATGTTACAGTAGCGATTCATTGATTCAAAAATGAAAAGCTAGGGTTCTTGAGATGGGGCTCCTTGGTTTCGTTCTTGGGCTCTGGATTGCCATTCTAGCAGCTGCCAAGACGGTGAAGCGAGACGGTGAGTCGATCCTCTCCAGCTGCATTTTCGTCTTGCCAATTCCAGTCAAGGCATTGAACGAGCTCAAGGCAGCTGGAGGATGGAAGGTTATGTACGCTTGGAATGGGGAGGATCCCTGTGGGGATGGAGACGCGGCATTGTGGCCGGGAATCACTTGTTCCTCCCCAAATGACGATGGCTATCGAGTGGTCACGGAATTGTGAGTTTTAATCGTCACTTTCTTCTTTCTTTCCAGGGAGCTCTTTCAAGTGTCGATCATTGGAACGTTCCCGATCGGTGTCACAAATTTGCTGGATCTCAGGAAACTGTGGGTTGGTCTGTGTTGATTTTCGTTTACTGAGTTCTTGCGTTCTTCTCTGGAAGGGACTTGCATGGCAACAAACTCACCGGACCGATTCCTCCTCAAATAGGACGGTTGGAGAAGCTTGTAACCCTGTAATGTTATTGCTAGCGGTCTGGCCGAAAAATTCTCGACTTATTTTGCTTTTTTCTTTGCAGGAACTTGAGATGGAGCAAGCTGCCTGTTGAGATTGGGCAGCTGAAGAAACTACAAAACTTGTGAGTAGAGTTTCGCTTCTGTTCTAAGTTCTTTTTTTCATCGTGTCTGTCTGTCAGGTTTTTAAGTTTTAACAGCCTTAGAGGACCTATACCGAAGGACCTCACGTATCTGCAGGAGCTTCGATACGTGCATCTTCACGAGAACAAGCTTATCGGCCGGATCCCTCCGGAGTTTGGAGAACTTCCTTATCTCTGACAATTATAAGCTTCAGTTTTATCCATACAGACATATTTTCTTATATTATTCTCTCGCAGGGATGTCAGCAACAATCATCTTATGGGAACCATCAGAGAACTGCTAAGAAGCGAACAGAATCGTGCTCAAGAGGCATTTCCATCTCTACGAAATTTGTAAGCTTTTCTTCTTTTGTGCTTAGATTCTTAAGCTCGACGTCCCCGCAGGTACCTAAACAACAATTACCTCACCGGAGGAATACCAGCAGAACTTTCGTACTTGTGCAATCTAGAAGTTCGATGCTAGAGTTGTCCTTGCCTGCTGATTCCCTCCGTGGTTATGCAGGTACTTGTCTAACAACAAACTTACAGGTCCGGTACCGGACGCACTCGCAAGCATCCCGAAGCTAACCTACCTGACGCCTCCATCAATTTTTCTCATGCAAAAGCTCTTTTTTCTCGTAGATACCTGGATCACAATGCTTTGAATGGCCGACTATCGTCAGCCTTCTACAGCCATCCGAGCCTGAAAGAGATGTACGTTGGCTCTTTGGCTTGATCATCTATGTAGTAGTATCCAAGCGTTTCTTTTTCCAGGTATATTGAAGGGAGCCAATTCAGCTCTTCCGCCAAACCAGTTGGTATACACAGGACAAGGCATCATCGTCCCACATGCTACAGTTACTATCGTATACTAGCAACAATGGAAGTATCCGACGCTGACTTCATTTTTTAGAAGGCAAGAGTTTTATTCATACAATGTCTCGTCCATGATTAAGCTAGAAGAAATATTTTCAAGCAAAGGAAGCGCGCTTACTCTCAGGAGGCTACTCGCTAAATTAGTGTAAGGTGGATGACTTTACCTAAGCAAGAATGTCAAGGAATTCATTTTTTTTAAATGAAATTTTTTTAAGTTTTCTAAATTTTCTAAATTTTCAAAGCTAAAAGCATTGAACATGGATCATTTTTGTGTTTCCTGACCATCTAGAAAAAATACAGTAGGACTCATGTGGCTGCTCTCAATGTAGCCTCTTGTAGAGAAAAGACTGCCTCCTTGACACAGAATGTGCTCTGCTTTGGCCGTGAGCCCATTGCTCACATAAAATTTGATCATGTGGTTTCACCAGGTTTTGCTCAAATCATGTGCAACAGATATGGCAGAGGAAATCTTAGGAGTTTGATACTTTGATGGCATGCCACAAGGAGACACAAGCCTTTGTAAGTTGGATGTTCTTCATTATTAATGGAAATCACCGGTGGCTAGCATTTTGGAGGTGTATTCAAGAGAAGTTCCAGGATGATGATGAGCAATATATTGGTGTTCCAATGACACTTGTGGAGCTAGAGGATCAAAACCAAGTTATAAGGCTCAACTTGGCATATCACAAGATTAACATATAAGAATCCCTTATTAGTAACTTTTATTCTCACAACTATGTTATAGGCTTAATCAGTTTGCTTTCCAAGTACATACCTTGGTCCATGATATCAAGCACCTTCGATATGTTGGTATACTTTCTCTCGAGGAAATCTAGATGCTATATAGTCGTGAGATTATGAAAGTAGTTCAAGCAAAGCTTATAGCACATAAAGGCCAGGAGTTGCTTACTTGGTATCAGGTGCCAATGGATTTTTTGGTTGCGGTCTAGGCAAAAGTATCCTTTTCTTGCATGAACTTGTGTTTTTTACTCACAAGTTTTCCTTTTAGCCAATTGTCAAGGTGAAGCAAAACTTATATTTGAAGATTATGCAAGTGACGGATGAGGTGCAAAAGAACCTTGAACTGCGACAAATTAAGCAGCACATTTTGAACTTGAAGAAATCAAAGGTGAAAAAGCTACTTATGATTGCAGACATCCGACGCGATAAAGATTGGTTGGATTGCATAGTAGAGATATGCTCTCATGGCAGTAAGCTAGTCCTTTTTATCTTTCTCATTCCACTTTAAAATCCTTGTCCTTGCAGGAAATGGTAAATCACCTGAAGAATTGATTTATAATATCGCAAAAAGCAAGCTCTCCTTCAATGAACAAACCTTTGCTTGGAGCTCCTCAACACTTGGCATCATAACAATGGTAAGATGTTGGAGAGCAAACTTGAGAATGTTATGAAGGAGAAACTTTATATCACTTAGAGTATTGTGGCTGCTAAGGAGTTACTTCAAGCATGGGATACGAAGTTCCTTATTAGTGCCTACACCGGCATAACACTTCCAGAATATGTCCGAGCTTCCCTTCAAGAGCTTGGGGATGGATGGCTACTTGATGGCAGCTCAAGCTCCATGGATTTCAAGAACCAGCTGGGCCAACCATTTTTCTTGTGCCACATGGCATATAGGTATATTGTAAGAAATTGACTTGCTTATTTAATCATGGCTCTTTTATAGGTATTTAAATCATTGCCCAAATGCTTTAGTGTACATAGCAAGTGTTTTTCTCAAGCTCTTAATTGGTGGGAAGAAGCTTGGCATGTATGAGCCAAAGTTCCATTGTCCCACTGTGCAGGAGCGAGAACTTTGTCCATGGTACTTGGAGTTGTGGAGGCAAATGCCATTGTCACCTTTTGAGCTTGATCTCCATCTCGAGTGTCATCTAAGTTTGATGAGTAAAACTTCCTAGCAATAACTTATGTTTCTACTTTATTGTAGAGGCACTTTTGGAGGGAGTGGAGATGCCTCAGGACAGGGATGAGATTCATATTGAGTAGACCGAAAAGGAACAAGTGGAGAATCCAACTGAAAACTCTCTTGCCCCATTTCATCTTACAACAGTTGCTCATTCCCTAGATTTTACTGCCGTTGCTCATCCAGCCCTGAAGCCGATGAGTAAAACCATTTCCAATGACCTTGCTTATTGTAATTTTGTTGTAGATTTCGAAGAAACCAGCTAGCACTTTATACACTGATGTACAAATGCATTCTTTCCATCCCTTACCACTGCTATAGAGGATGACCTCCAAGAGTTATTTTCATCGGCTTCACATAAACAGGTATGAAAAAAAACATGTATTAACTTTAATATTTCCTGGTTTTGAACACTATTCAGGTTCGCCCTCTTTCTCCTACGGGAAGTGTTGACAACGTGGAAATAGTTATTGGGGATTACTTTCAGCTTTCCAAAAACATGAGCCAAGAGTCTTCTATGTTCCATCGATGGATGCGAGGATTGGGAATGAACAATACTTTCAGCATCAACCTCACATTCTTCGACTTGCCTGATGGGTTACCACCTTTACAAGGTGACACTCCATCCTGGAACATCCTTCGACCAGACCATATTTCTCAAGCAGTGGATGTGGCATCCAAGGTGTTGCAATACGAGGGCATTATGCTAGTCATTCTTCCCTGTTCTTTATTTTGGGGAGGTCTTCTTGCAATGATGGCGGAGAATGATGACTCTAGATTGGTTGAGTTTCCATCAGGCTGCCTACTCTCAAACATCCCGGTCGAAACAAAAGGAGCTGGTGGCCGAATCCAAAAGGTTTGCATTTCCTTATTTTTCATATCTTAAATTGATTGCCTCTTTTCATTGTAGGTTTTAGCATGGAACTACCATGCTCTCTGCCGCTACTCTTGCCGTCATAGTATTACATGAACAATAGGTTTTGGTTCAATGGTGCTAGCGGCTAAAGAGATTGGGCGTGCAGTTTTTGCACTAGAGAAGGAGAGTGCATTTGAAGGTGTTCTTGGGACATTTCATAAGAGGTGATAATAAAGTATAAATTTCTTATTATAATAATTCCATCATGGTTGTGTATATTAGGTGGATCAATGATGTGGGCTATATTTTGCCATGTTATGCAGAAGCAATGGCACAAGCTCATATAGAACAAGAGCCCATAGTTAGAGAGCATAATACTATACAAACTCCTCCTTTTATGGATGTGGATGCTGAGGAAGACTAAGTTTAGTTTTTTTTTAATCAAATTTTTTAGTGGTAATATAGAGTTTCTTCTTTGACTTATGATATTTTTTTTCTTATTGGACTTATATTATTTAGCTTTTTCTTGGACTGAAAATATGTCTTAAGTGTTTAATAGAATTGTTAGTTCATCCCGAACCAATCATTTGAATATCAACTTTTGTATTTGGTGGACTATATTG